AAACATGCAAAACCTTTTTCCCCTGTCAGAATTTAGTGAGGTTATAGTTTTGAAGCTTTGTGCATCAGCACAGTACTATAGTATTAGTAAGACTTTGTTACTGGGTTGGAACAGGCTTTTTTGGGGCATGGATCATGTGTTAAAAATGTTTATTATTTACAAATGAGGAAGTGCCCTCTAGAATCACTCATCTTAAAATCTGACACGTTACAAAAAGAATGTCTCAAGATATAAAATTGTTATTCTGAAGTGAGGCAGTACGTCAAAAATAAGCAAGGCACCATTTCTTTTTTACTTCATTTTTTTTTTTTTTTTTTTTTTTACCAACAGATAAACTTCAACCACACTGTATTCTATATTAGCAAGATGGGGTTTCCATGTAGTGTTACTTTTGCACAAACAGCAGCAGCCTTACAGTATATCTATGTTCAGGCGATATATAATACAAACACCAAATTTAACATAATGGTGGTGGAAAGAACTCCATCCTCAAGGTTTTTATCCACAATCAGATTGGATATAATTTACCATTACTAATTAGTTGCAGTACAATGGTAGAAAATAAACATCAACAACTCACCTTTGAGCTTTTCAGCCAGAACTGTAGCTTCATGTTCAGAATAATGCATGATGGCAGGAGGGGACGCCGGTCGCAGTTTATCGACTTCAAGTTTGCGCCGATGGCGTTCTTCTCGTGCAAGCATTCTTTGTTTGCATTCCCATTCATAAAAGTCATCTCTCGCTTGTGCAAAGTCAACATGCAGACGGCCAGAGTCTTTTTTATCTGTACTTGAGCCTAATCTCATTCGGTAACCTGTAACCGAAAACATCATGAGTCTTATTTCAGGCTACATTGATTATCTGTAATTTAGGCAGTTATATATATATATATATATTTTTTTTTTTTTAAAACAACATTAATTTTTTAATGTGACATATAACGCAAATAAATTATACATGAATTGAATACTTATTACTGTGTCAGAATGATTTGGTTATTATAAATTCAGATGAAGTTATTGACCTTTCTAATAAAGATGGATATGTTGTATACAATTTGATTTGTCAGATTACTTTTGGTTTTGAACAAAAAGAGTTTTAAATAAATAAACAAATAAGTGCAATTGCGATCTGATTCCTCCTAAATATTTGATTTCCCAAATGAATTCACTTGATTAGATTTGTGTAATATTGAAAGGTAACGCCTATGCTTCCAACAGTGAGGTTTTGTTATATTTATTATGTGATTTAAAATGGGAATATTTGGAGCGCTTATTTAGCAGGTGAAAAAAGTCTAATTAGAGCTATTAACTTAAATTACTGCTTCAAACACTCTAGGTGTGGTACCCTTCCAACACACCATACACAATGCAGTGAACAAGGAAAAAGAGGAATAAGAGTGGTGCAATTTGTTGAAAGGTGACAATTTAGGCAATCTCCCCCTGAATCTCTACAGGTGTAGAAAGGTTTAAGTAAAACAAAAAGCAATACTTAATCTCCTGGGAAGAGTCTTCCATATATAGATCTCTCAAAGCAGGTAGGAAAAAAACCATAAAAAGAGCAAATAATAGTGCAGATTGTATTAAATGTATTCCCAGATATTATACCCCAAACATAGAGGGCTAAGGAAATACCATAAGACAGTGTTTTGATTTTAACAAGCTGTTAGGAAAGGTGCAAATAGTAATACAGATTGTACTTAACTGTATTCCCTGATATTGTACCCCAAACAAAGAGGGCTAAGGAAATACCATAAAGCAGTGTCTTAATTCTAACAAACATATGCATATGAAATAACCATCATTTCAGTGGCTGCAAATGAGGTTGGCCAGAAGGACTAATTGAAAGATTTGAACTGGTAACTGTGGGCTTTAAAAACCCTCAATAAAGATGGCCACCGCAGCACATCACGTCCTTATGTTTTTTTCCTACCTGCTTTGAGAGATCTATGTATGGAAGACTCTTCCCTGGAGATTAAGTATTGCTTTTTGTTTTACTTAAACCTTTCTACACCTGTAGACATTCAGGGCGAGATTGCCTAAATTGTCACTTTTCAACAAATTGCTCCACTCTTATTCCTCTTTTTCCATATTTATAATATGAAAATAGATTTAGAATGGAATTTAAGTGTAATTGTGAATGTTAATTTAGTGACATTTATAGATATAAAAGTGAACATGTCTATAACTCCTCAAGAACAGGGATGGTATTGTCATTAGTGTGGATAGATAGCTACAAGCAAACCTTGCAATGCAATTGCTGTATGCTAGCTTGTATCTAGTTAGATGCTCAACCTAGCGCAAGATATGATTGGCACAACAGGGCGATTTTCAGCGCATGCACATTAACCTACCACTGATTCCCTATAGAGAAGCAATGAATTGGCTCAGATGATCAACTAGGGTGGTGAAGCGACAATGGGGAGATCAGTATGGTGATGGAATAAAGGCAGTGTAACTCTTAAGTCCTCACTTAGAAAGACTCCTTAAAAGGTAGGGCAACACTATAGTATTTGGAGATATGTTTCTATAAAGTGAATCTGTTATCCAAAAATTATGTGGATAGCAAGTTCATCTACAGATAGATATAGACTTAATCTACAAAATAGGCTGACAAAATAATACACAAATAAATTGCTTTAATATGTATAGTTATTTGAAGACAGGAGATAGGCACCATGACAAAATAATAATGAGCCGGACATTCTGGGAGATGGCTCGGAGTCACTTAGAGACAGACCAGATGTGAAAGTAGCCACTGGTGACCTCCAGCTCTATTTTGTATGTAGTGAAGGTGGGGGATGATGCAAGGCGGACCACAGGTAGGACTCAATCTATTCTAAAGTTGTTAAAATAGTGGGGGGAGGGGAGTCAGAGCATCCTGTCCAATAAACACTACAGCAAGTTGAAGTGGTTATTGTGCTTGCAGTGTACCTTTAAGCTTTCTCAATATAATAACATATACAAAGTACATGCATACAATTAATCTTGCTTTCTAGTCACATTGCAATGTTAGCCTTTTGTGTAATTACACCCCCACTCCTTTAAGCAGAGTTGAGCAAGTCCTTCATCTTTGTATACCTGTTCTGTTTACCCATTCAACACCACTCCAGAACATGCTTTACAAATAAAATAACAATAACTGCACGATGTGCTAATACAATCTCCACTCAGCATGTGCCTTTCTATTATATACCAACGCGCAGCACTTCTATGTTCTACTGCTGGAAGGAACAGGAAAACTCTGAATGCAAACTCTGCTATTTATTTAAAAAAAAAAAAAAAGGATAACACGATTTGCACATCTAAATGCTTAGATTAACCCTTAAGAAACAAATGATATACTTTAAAATCATAACAATTTGTAAAAAATAAATGTATGCCAGCATTTAAAGTCCTGTACATCGAGTGTCTCAGTTCTACATTCTACCCATCTCTGTGATTATTAAAGTGAGAGGGACTTACTATATATAATCCTTAAAGAATAGAATAAATAATGTCAGAGACTCTCGGTGATCCTTTAAGGCAAGATATGGATGGATGGTGGTGGGTAAATTTGAATACAACTAACATTTGGTTGGCATCTCTACTGCACCTCAAAGAGCAAATAAAACGGCCCTTCCTGTAGCATAGTCCTTGGATTGGAAGTCATGTGTCCAAACAAGTCTTCTATTAATCTACAATATTTTTATGTGAACCACATCAAAAAGGGTACAGGAGATAAATATTTCAATGGAATATGTTCCTGAAAAGCAACACCAGCTGCCGCTTGTTCAATGAACAATGAAAGTGTCAACAACCAGCTTGTTTCACAAAAGCAAGTCGCAATCTATTTACTTCAAAATAAAGAATTTTATAAAGAACCCTTTAATACGTCAAGGCACAAAAATGTTCTGTGTTCATATTGTTCTCATTGACAATCATCTCTTGTACCAAAATAAAAGTTGTGATTTTTCAGTAATTTTGATGAAATCTAAGCGTTATTTTTAATTGTTCGGAAAATTGGTTGCTACCAACATTAAGAAGAAAAATATCTAATGTAAAAGGTACCGCTTTTTTGTTTTTTGTTATGACACTTAGAATGCAGATATAATTTAGTGCCTGAATCTCAAGAAAAAAGGGACAGTTTCTACAAATGTTTACCCGAAATGATTAGTAGGATGAAACATTGTTTAATATACATGCTGACAAACTTTACAAACTCTTGGTACTAGTTTGATGGGAGTTGGCAGACATAGGGAAACCAATGTGCTGAAGCTTGATAAGAGGCTCAGATGAGACTGAACATAATTTGATAACTCAAGAGCACACGCCAAGATTTACAAAAACAGTCAAAGTTGATGACAGGATGCAAATTGCATTCCAGTGGTCACCATGGCAACCACATGATTTTTTTTTCACGGAATTGAGGGATTTGAAAGAAGAAAAGTGATTTTAAAACCGAAATAAAAGGTTTTAGTTTATAAAATCAGTATGTAGTGTACATTCTTTCTGCATTTGAACTTTAATAGAGAAATACACAGTTACAGCCTTGTATAAAAAAGACTATTACAGTAATAAAGTTCCTTGAAAGTAAATTCATTTTATATTAATTTTATAGAATGTGCCAGATACTGGGTGTTAATATTTATATTTCTGTAGCCTTGCAGAAAATGGAAAATCATTGTTCTAATATAACAAAACACAGACATGAAAGCAGCAGCACTATACTCTTAACAGACTGGACACACTACGTCTGGATACTGGTATATAGACCGTATAATAGCTTGCAACAAGATGCTTGCAACATGCCATGGGCAAACTGGTAAAAGTCTGGAGGGCATTATTGACCATCAGCCGATAGATTGTTGGGAAGATTTGAGTATCTTCATAACTGGTCCATTTTTTTTTTATTTTTTTTTAAATCCCATGACCTTAAACCTCATAACTAGTGATGTCCCGAACGGTTCGCCGCGGACGGCGAACATAAACATAAACTTTGACCCTGTACCTCACAGTCAGCAGACACATTCCAGCCAATCAGCAGCAGACCCTCCCTCCCAGACCCTCCCACCTCCTGGACAGCTCACTAAGAATGCAGCTTCACAATGAATGTAAAATGGATGCTGTCCAGGAGGTGGGAGGGCCTGGGAGGGAGGGTCTGCTGCTGATTGGCTGGAATGTGTCTGCTGACTGTGAGGCACAGGGTCAAAGTTTATGTTTATGTTCGCCGTCCTTTCGGCGAACCGTTCGGGACATCACTACTCATAATCCATTTTCACGTAATTTTATATCCTCTCACCTTAATGCTCCTAATCCTATTTTACCTAACTCTCATACCATAAAGCTAGGAAATTAGTTCTTGTTCTTTAAAATACATGAACTTTTTTTTTTTTTTTCAAGTCTAGCTCTTGTTCAGAATACTTAAAGTCTCTAATACTTTTCTTGTTGTTGACTCTTACTAGTAAGCTTTGTAATTTTAGATTTATTTGCAGTTATTTACTTTATCCTGTTAAAAATATGGATGTCATCCTATTACTCTACGAACTCTCCTCTGCAATATGATTTCTCAAAAGCATTAGACTACAGATGTTTTGTATTATTATTAGTGTAAAACATTTTCTGATAAACATTGAATCTACTTTCCATGGAAGTACATTGCGTGTTTACATATATATATATATATATATATATATAAAGCACATATACCCACTTGCATGCTGTACATTTTTTCCATTATTTTCCCAAAATACACAGTATGATGTCACATCACACTATCTGAAAGGATCCCTATAGGGTCAGGAACACGAACATGTATTCCTGATCCTATAGTGTTAAAACCACCACCTAGCCCCCCTGGGCCCCTCATGCCTCCATAAATATAGCAAAATCTCACTGTATTCAAGCCTGAAGCTATAACTCTGCATGCTGTTTGACTTAGAAAAACAAGCTGTCTGCTGACACCATCAGAAGTGGTAGCCTGATCAAATCAGAGTGCTTCCCTATATGATGGGCAGAGGCAGAGCCAGCATGATTCAAACACAGCCCTGGCCAATCAGCATCTCCTCATAGAGATGAATTGAATCAATGAATCTCTATGAGGAAAGTTCATTGTCTGCATGCAGAGGGTGGAGACACTGGATGTTTGGATGCATTTTAAGCAGCCATGACCCAGGAAGGATCTCTAACAGCCATCTGAGGAGTGGCCAGTGAAGTTATCACTAGGCTGTAATGTAAACACTGCATTTTCTCTGAAAAGACAGTGTTTACAGCAAAAAGCCTGAAGGTAATGATTCTACTCACCAGAACAAATTCAATAAGCTGTAGTTGTTCTGGTGACTATAGTGTCCCTTAAAATGTATAATATTTGGTTAATTGTTTTATACAAAACTACAGACAGACAGATCAGCTGCTTCACCTAAATGAGAGGAGTTTATCTTACAGTGTTTATACTGCTTCCGTGTCTAGTTTACTTACTAATGTATTCACATTAATGTGATTTTCCAGATAAAGTACCTAATTAAAAGTTAGGCAATTTCCAGGATGCTAAGAAATTTGCGAAAACTAACCGATTGTCTTTTTCAACAAAGTAATTTCTGTGTGAATAATTAACTTCATGAAAACTCATATAATAGTGAATAAACATTGCAAATAGAAGTAAATGAACATCGATTCACAGTTCTTTTTTGTTAGGTTGAAAAGAGTGGTACCAAATTAGGGTATAATCTACTTTCTAAACCAAAAAAAAATGGAAGTTCCAAACTGAAAATACAAATTTCATCCAAAACAAAATTGACTAATGAACAAAATTAGTTTTGGACAAATGAATTTGGATGAACTGCACAAGTTAATCCATTAATGGGCCAATGTCTTTGGGAAAATAAATACTCAGCTATTTTTAATTGCAGATTGCTACTGCTAATTTAAAAAATTAATGGAAAGGCAAAAGTGGACTGTTCACTCACATTTAATACTAAATCACTGTATCTTGGCCAGATCTCTCTGACATAAGTTACAACGCCAAGGTATGACTACCAATATGTGTACGGACTTAGAGCCAGATATGAATTGCATGTATGTTAGTTACTGTTTATCTTCTATGAGGTAAGTTATAGTCTGGAAAAGATCAGGTGAGTAATGTCCATAATCTAGATATTCACACAATGGATGATAGTGGTTCAGAAAAAAAATGGCTGCTGTGATGCAAGGGTGTACCCAAACAGGGCTCACAGATATCTCAGTATTACTCATACAGTCATAGATCTGTATAGTTCTATTTTTAATTAACAAGAATTCAATTTATTATACCAAATGCATGTGCAAATTTATTGGCCTCTTTTGAACAGCTGATGGTGTGATGTGCTTTCATTCATTTACTTTTCCCAATTTGGCACTCACATGGCACAGAATTAACATATAGTTCCTCTGACATTATAAATCTGCCTTTGTAAGTTTTCACCCTTTATAGGTTGGTGAAAAACTATTTCTGGCTAACATTCCCTTCATAATCTCATTTTTAGTTTCCATCTAGCTATAGATTCTCTAGAAACCCGTTGAATATCGATTTGTCTAATTATATTTGAAATAGAATTGGCCCGGGGCCATTTACATTTCTCTATCCTTGCAATGATATTAGATTCCAAAGCCCTTTATTTATGATTCTCATACCTTCTTCAATGAATAATAGTTATTGCTGGAAGTTAATACGAAAACCTATGAACTTTTGATGCTCTCGTTTTTTTTATAGCTTTTTTGTCTTTTAGTGGGGGAGTATGAGCTTAACAATTCCTTCATTATCAGAACTTAGTAATATTTTTTGTAAAACTGCAGGTTTACATCTTTTAACACTTATGATAAAACATACAAATTGTCTTCACATAGTCTCGATTTGTTTTCTTTCTTTGATATAAATGAAAGCTTTAGTTCTAAGAAATAAACCATCATTTTTTTTTCCCTTTTTGTCTCCCCACAATATTACAGGTTCATTGGGATTGTTTGCAACCTATCTCACCAGATGGAGAATGACACATAATTCAATAACGTTTTCTATATTTTATGGACGGGCACAGCATATCCATTTATTTACTGATAGGTCTCGTATGAAGGCTGGCACATAAAGCTCATATTTCACCTTGTTTCCCACTGCAGGATGAGAATGAAAGGACAACCTAGAAAGAAGCTGTGGTCGTTTTTTTGTCAAGTGGCTTGCAATAAAGATTCTGGAATCAGAATCTGCAAAAGCATTGCCCCAACAGAAGACAAAAACTTCTCCAACCAAAGGTAGGAAACCTCAAGGGCTACAATGCAAACATCCCTTAAAATGGATTTTAAAAATACATCAGGAAAGTGATGCCCATCATTTATTGACAATAGGGGTAAAAAAGAATCAGTATATCTTAAAGGAACACAATAGTGAGTCTAGTTCAGTTTCGAGACCGATGTAACCTTTTAGAAAGTACATCTGCTGAATACAATACAATACATTTTTCATTAAATTAAAGGGGCACTCCAGGCACCCAGACCACTTCTGCCCATTGGAGTGATCTGGGTGTCAACTCCCACCACCCTTAACCCTGCAAGTGTAATTATTGCAGTTTTTATCAATTGCAATAATTACCTTGCAGGGTTAAGTCCTCCTATAGTGGCTGTCTATCAGTGGCTGTCTATCAGACAGCCACTAGAGGGACTTCTGTGTCTATTGGCTGTCTATCAGACAGCCACTAGAGGGACTTCTGTGTTCTTAGAACACGAAAAGTGTTTTAAACAACGCTGAATGTCCTCACGTTATGCATGAGGACCTCCAGCGTCGACCAAATCCCCATAGGAAAGCATTGAATAACGCTTTCCTATGGTGAGGTCTAATGCGCGTGCGTGCCTGTTGCCGCACATGCGCATTAGGTCTCCCTCGCCTGCTGACGTCAGCGGGGAGGAGCATGGGCGTAGCCTTACCCAGTGCCAAAGGAACATCGGCGCTGCATTCACATAAGTCACTGAAGAGGTTTTAAACCCCTTCAGCAACATGGGATGGGGGTGGAGAGGATCACTGTAGGGTCCTGCAGTGCCAAGAAAACGGATATGTTTTCCTGGCACTGGAGAGTCCCTTTATTTGAGTGGCACTGGATAAAAGGTGTATAAAAACAGCCCTTTTATTTTAAAAGTGGGCCCATAATCTAAAAGTTCTCAGGAACAACTTAACATTACAATTAACATTTACAATAATGTTTAGAAATTAGTCTGATCGTCTCATATAAATGTTATCCGACACTATCACTATCATATAGGTAGGTATCATATAGATAGGTACATCAAGATCATTTTGCCTTTGTTGGCAATCTTGTCCAAGGTGAAATATGAGTCAAGGTTAATGTAAAAGTCAGAAAGACAAGACGAACATTACAGCAAACGGAAGATTACTAAAATTAGACTATACTATACCGGAGAGGTAAATGGCTTTATCAACCATGAACTCCTCTGCAAATCGAATGTGACAGAAATTCTTCTTGCTTTTGCGAATTGCAGTAATATCTCCACATTGCTCAAACAGCTCCTGAATAATCTCTTCTGTAGCATTTTCGGGTAATCCTCCAACAAACACAGTCTTACAGCCTGGGGGTCTCTCTCTTGTTGAAGGTGGGGGTAAATCTAAACGGAGACAAAATTCAGGATATTAAACATTAAGTATTTTTGCTGTATTATAAATGCAGACCATTAAAATTGTATCACATTCAACCACTTTCAAAAAAAGCAAAAGTCTAAAACAGAAAGGAAAATATACCATGCCTGCCAGCATTTCAGCTCTTTTATTTAAATAGTTTGCCTTGTAACTTTAATGTTCAACAGTACAAAAATATAAGCCATCTATTCCTTCTTCACCCAGCTGGGGCATCCATCTTAAAACAACTTGTATCATTATTCCTTCTCAGTAATTAAATGAGTCCTGTATATATACCTGTTTGTATTGAATTTATTGAATGTTCCCAGAAATGGAAAACCAGAGGAAAATGAAATTTCGAAACAGAGACTGTCCTGCAGGACGTTAAGGCAGTATGAAATAAAAGAGAATGTAAATAACAGCAACAAGAATATACACTTTATATTCATTAAGATGGAGTTTTATAGCAGTTAAACAATTCCTAACGGTTTTGCATACAAGCAACGCATATATATAGATATATATATATATAAACATG